GCTTTTTTCTTTTTGCTTATGTGGTGCTGAGGAATCAAACCCAGGGCCTCAGGCATGCAAGGCAAGCGCTCTACCACTGAGCCACCTTCCCAGCCCAAGGAACTTACGTTTGTAAGCATGATTCAAAGCCAGTAGATACTGAGAATGAAATCTCCTTTCCTTTGGTGAATACATATTTGGGTTTTTTTTCCCCAGTCCTGAGGCTTGAACTCAGGGCCTAGGCGCCAACCCTGAGCTTTTGTTTTGTTCAAGGCTAGCACTCTACCACTTAAGCCACAGCACCACGTCTGGCTTTTTCTGTGTATGTGGTACTGAAGAATCGAAGCCAGGGCCTCATGCATGGATGTGTATTTGCATTTTGGCACCCCCTGGCCAGTAGAGGAGCTGGCCTTTGCCCTTCCCCAGGGGGAGTGGGCTGGGTGCCTTTGGAGCATCCTGGGAACGGCTTACCTGCGATCCCCGGCTCCCTGTCACCTTTAAGGAGCCTGAGGCGGAGGCCATGCGGACTTTCTTCATGGCTCTTCTTGCCTCGGCTTCTAACTTGGTCTCGGGCCTGGGGTGATCGTGTTCTCCCTTTGACTTCAAGAAGACAAAGAAAAGAAAAGGACAGAAATCAAGTCGGTGGCCGGGCTGCGCGCCCTGGGCAGCGAGCGGGGCCTATTGTAGGTCTCCACGTGTGGCCAGATGGTCTCCTGGTTGGGTGTGGCATCCAATGAGAGAGACCTTGGGGTATCCCCCAGACCCCATGCCCACGCTGTCGCCTTTGCTCGCTGCCCCTCGTTCCCCGTGATGCTCCCTGTGGGTGAGCAGGACACCGACGAACATGGCTTGCTCCTCGGTACACGCCACCACCACCACCACCACCACTATCATCACCACCACCACCATCATCATCACCATCATCATCATCATCTTCACCACCATCATCATCATCACCATCATCATCATCACCATCAGAACCATCATCATCATCATCATCATCATCATCACCATCATCACCATCATCACCCCCAGTACAGGATAGGAAACAGAAGCATGCACAAGTAGATCACGCTATCTGCGCAACCTCCCCTAATCTAGCTGGAGCCTGCCCAGCAGACAGCCTTTGTTGCCTGTTGGTTTCTGCCCCTGCTGTATTTCCTACATACCCCCACAGAGAACTGGGGCTCTGGGAGGTCCCTTGTTGGGGGTGTCCAGAACTAGCGCAAAGGCTGTGGGCTGAGCCCCAGAGTGGGGTGCAGGCCGGGTGGGCTCCTGGGGAGCGAGTGCAGGCCCTTGGCCAGCTCCCCGCAGCCCCCCCACCACTCGGCCCCCTCCCACCCCGCCGTGCAGCCCCCTCACCCCAACGCGCGCCCCCCAGCCCGCCATGCACGGCCCCAGGGCCGTGAGCTGAGCTGTGAGACACTCTGCACAAGCCACGCACGCGCTGCGGTCCCACCTGGAAGAATATGAAGCGCCCGTCATGCCTCCAGAAGTTGGTGACGGGGAAGCCCCCGTGGCCGCGGCAGGGGATCAGCTTCAGGGGCCCGCTGCAGTTGGGGCAGCATCTCCCTGGGGAAGGACAGAGGGAAGTGACCGGCCGGGGCTCCTGACCCAGGCTGCGCAGGCCCCGTCCCAGCGCGGACCGGGAAAGCGGCGGCCGCCAGCGGGCGTCGCCCGGGCCGCGAGCTCTTCTGAGCAGAACCCCCTCCATGCACACACGATATTCACGAGTCTCGGCTGAGAAGAGGAAAGGAAGCCTCTCATTCTCCGAGAAGAAGGAAGGGGCCACGAGCGAGCCACAGGAGAGGACAGACAGTAGATAAAGCGAGGATGGCTGAAAGCAGGTCCTCCCGGGGCGCACATGAGCAGGAAGGAGCCCGGGGTGGCCGCCTGCACAGTGGGCGGGGCGCTGCACGCCGAGCGCGGCGGTCACAATCCACCGAGTGTGGCCAAGTCAGAAGAGCACAGGCCGCTTGGGACCCCCGGGACGGAATGGCATGGACCCGCCGATCTGGGGAGGCCGCGTGGAGACCCACGCCCCAGGGTGGCCGCGGCCACACACGCGTGTCTCCTAATCTTTGCACACGGCAGCGAGGCCTACCTCGTTCTTTCACCCAGGTTTAAAGCACCTTGAGCACTCAACTGGGAGGACCTTGGGTCAGGTCATTCAACCCGACATAGCAGTTTTCCTGGTAGGAGCTCGGGACGGGGGGGGGGGGGCTGTGGATGGATACTGGGGGTGCAGACACGGCTGGCTTTCCCTGAGCCCGTTCCACACCGCACGGCCGCGTGCCCTGGGGATGTGTGGGGACGTGAGGCCCACCGAGGCAGGGCGGGGGGGGGGGACGCCACCAGCTCCCCCAGCGCCAGCCCGCCACACTCACGCTGCTGCTTCTGCCGGGCCTTGTCGCAGATGGCGGGGCGCAGGTAGATCTTGCGCCCCTCGGCGGTGGAGCAGTCCCGGCCGCACACCACCACGCCCAGGCAGGACTTCTTGAGGATGCGGGAGTTGTGGTTGTTGGTGTTGCGCATGGCCCAGCTGCTGAGGTGGCGCTGCGCGCTCCGGTCCTCCGAGCTGTACACGTGCTTCACGTACGAGTCCGGCCACTCCTGGAACCAGTCGGTCCTCGTCACGTTCTAAGCGAAGCACAGACGGCACTGTTAGAGCCGAAGCCCCCAAACAGACCCCAGGAGAGGCCGGGGATCCGGCCCCAGGCAGAGCGGAGCCCAGGCCTCTGCCCATGGAGGAATCCGGGAGCTGGGAAGCCAGCAGCAAATGCAACAACATCTACGCAGCACCCCGACTTCGCGCCCAAAGACAGGGCCATGCCGAGTTCTAACCGCCGCCACCCCAGTCGACCCTGAGAGAAGGAATGAGCCTCTCTCCGTGAGGAGTTTTGGGGGAAGGACTATCGTCCCAGTCCTACACAAAGCCCAGCAGAAGCCTGTGGCAGGGAGGAAGATGGTGTCACACCGCCGGGTACCTTCTTAAGTCGCCTCCAAGGCCGGGCAAAGTCACCACAGATACCCAGTGCGGGCTCAGAACCCCAGCTCAGAAAGGGTCCCGCCTTCTCCTCTGCACCAAGGGGATTCTCTGCCCCTCAGATAGCCGAGGGCTCAGAAGAGCTGTGTTCCGGTGGGCACAGACACGGGAGCCGTGGACCCGTGGACTCAGAGTTTTCAGTTTTGCAAGATGAGAAAGTTCTAGAGATTGGTGATGGAATGGTTTGCGTGCAGTGACAACCACCACACTATCCGTTTAAAGAGGAGTAAGATGGTAAGTTTTATAGTGTGTGTTATATTACTACTATTACTATACCAAACTTACTTATAAGATGATAACAGACGTGCAGAGCTAGAGTCCTTATAGAATAATTATTTTGCTTCCTGATCCCCCATTTCTTTGTTTTGTTTTTTTGGGGGGGTCCAGTCATGGGGCCTGAACTCTGGGCCTGGGCGCTGTCCCTCAGCTCTTCAGCTCCAGGTAAGCACTCTACCACTTGAGCCACAGCATCACTTCCGGCTTTTTTCTTTTTGCTTATGTGGTGCTGAGGAATC